CAACCTAATAAATCAGCCAATCAGGGGTTTTCGACCTCGCGCTATCGGCCAATCAGATTTCTGCGAGCTAAAAAACTGGCCAATCAGGGATTTTCAACCTCCCGCTTTCAACCAATCAGATTTCTGCAAGCTAAAAAGCCGGCCAATCGGGGATTTTCGATCTTGCGCTTTCGACCAATCAGATTCTTTCAAGCTGGAAAATAAGTCAATCAAGGGTTTTCGATCCCGCGCTTTCGACTAACTAGATTCTTCCAAGCTAAACAACGAGCCAATCAGAAGTTTTCGGTCTCACGCTTTCAACCAATTAGATTCTTTAGAGCTAGAGAACCAGCCAATCAGGGCTTTCCGAGTTCATGGATTCGACCAATTGGATTCTTTCGAGCTGAAAAACCAGTCAATCACGGGTTTTCGACCTCGCGCTTTCGATCATACAGATTCTTTCGAACTATAGAGCCACCCAATCAGAGCTTTCCAACTTCCGCGATTCGATCAATCAGATTGTTCAAGTTAGATAACCAGCCAGTCAGGGCTTTCCGACCTACGGTATTTGACCAATTATATTCTCTCAACCTAGAAAATCACCCAATTAGGGTTTTGACCTCGCGCTTTCAGCCACCCAGATTCCTTTGAGCAGAATAGCCAGCCAATGAGGCTTTTCCGAATTCAGAGATTCGACCAATGAGGGTGTGGGTGTATGGATGTCGGTATGGCTGTGGGTGTGAATGTGTGGATGTGGGTGTGGGTATACTGTGGTGCGGGTGTGGGTTTTTTGTGGTGGTGGTGTGCGTGTGGACATGGGTGTGGTTATGGGTGTTGATGAGTCGGGTGTGGTTGTGGACTGTGGAGGTGCGGGTATGGATTGGGAAAAGACTGGTCTCAACATCTACGCCCATCCATATCGACATTCACCCCCACACCCACATCTGCCCATACCCACGCCATACTCGACACTCACGCCTACGCCCACACTCCCCACCCGCATCCTCCTCGTCAGAAATTCTAATTAATCCCTGACTTTCGAACGAGACAATTAGGTTGAAGAAATAAGGAATATTTCATAACAAAGTAGCGGTTCGGAACTGTCCATCGAGAATTCTCGTATTATAGACCTAAAGATTTTTCGAAGTAAGAGCAGTCTGGAATTCGATAGGGTGTAAGGCAAAGAGGATTATCTTTTGAGCGAATAAGATCACATGTGGCAGCGGCTAGCCGCTGCGCTGGAAAGTTTCCTGAAGAAAGGCGTCAAGTGTTAGGATTGATCGGGAAAATGCCAAGAATCTAAATCTAATGGGCTTCAGTAAGGGCCGGAAGCGCCAAAAAACTAAAAAAATATTTTCAAGTTAAGTATGAAAACAGTTTTTCAGTACTGGCACTATATCTGAATAGTACATTAGACGAAAAGCAGCACGCAAAGAATTTATATTTACACTGTCGCAAGCAAAATTGAATGAAATAAAATGAATTTTTCTGTTGTTGTGTGTCCTTGTTGGTTTAGAAATTGTGTTTTCTTAACTATATTGTCAGCTAATAGAGTATATTTGGGGTTTAGATTGCGTCTTGACGCGTGAAAAAGATAAAGTGATAGTGAATAGTACGACCTTTTCCAATTTTATGAAAATAATTATGAATTAAGTGACTTTTGTGCAAGGAAGAATCGGCGGATTGCGGGGACTCGGAATCCCATGGAAATCCTGGAAATCCCAGATATACTTAAATTAGACGCCTGAACAATACTGAAAGTATAACTCATGTTCATGCATGACATATATCACTTCATTCATTTAATATTTTGCAAGGCATTCCTTTAAGAGAACCATGTGGAGGTATGGAAAATTAGCATGTGGTTGTTACTGTATCGTGGGAATGGAAAGAAGACGTAAATTCCCACCCTCATTCATATCTTTAACGAAACATTCTAGGCTAAAGAAGCGACTGTTTTCTCACGAAATAACGAGAGCCAACATTGTGGCATATACTACGATTATTTATACGTTTCAAATAGGTGAGAAATTTCAAACAGTTTGCACAATGACGCTCATATTGACTCATAGAAGGCGAATCGGACTACAACTTAAAATTTGACATAAAACATATAGCTACAATCCAACTAAGGGGCTAGCTCTGAAGACGAACTTGCTGTTTTTTAATTTCATCCAATACTTAATGAGTTGTAGTTCTGCGATCAACACTATTCTTCCTACTTTTAACAATAATGATCTATCCATAAATATTAGTACAAGAATAAAAGAAGTAAATAATCTATTGACTTTTTAATCAATGATTGGAGCGATATGCTAACTGATTAGCTTACATTAGTTCACTATCTGGTTCATTCAATAAAATAGGCATGATCAATGAGGAAACGTAACAGATTAGTTCTGATCAATGTTGCTTTGGCTTTTGCTGCCATTTCATGGATGAAGGAAAATGAAACAGAAGAGTTTTTTTGTGCCTCTAGTATTGATGCATGTCTTACGAGAAAATTTGTGTAAACTTACAATGGAACTGTTCGTCATGCCAGTTGAATTACTCAACTATATTCGGGTAAAATGATAACTCTTAACGAGAAAATGCCAAATTAAAAATATGAGCCGCTGATGACTAGCCTAGGCCGAGTTATTCAAATGTTAAGATATTGCCAGTTTAGGTATATGGAACCACTCTAAAGTAACCACAATCTATTTTTACAAAAACTGGTCGATCGAGTTTATCAGGCTTTGCTCAAATTTAACGTATGTAGTATAGAGGAAGCTTTAAAAATAGAGAGATTATAGAGAACACATTGAACGATAAAAAACTTAGCTCCCTAGGAGTCAATGCACGAAAGCTACGATACATCGTGCTCAATCGATGTCTCAAATTTCAATGAAACTTAGCCAGTATGTAGCCCTAAGTGAGTTATGAAAACGCTAAAAATTTCAGCTTCTAAAACCTTTCCTTTGTTAAGATATTCAATCCATAATAGAAGCACTCTCAGGTAAAAAACGACTATAATTGATGCAGACCATATATATTGTATATTTCGCCATTCATCAACAGCCGGGTTTTTCCAGCTGCAATTTTGTGCGTATATACTACTATAGGTATCCTACATACTGGCACACTCAAAACCATATTTCGGCATGTTAAGCAGTATAGAGAATTTTCATAGGTCCTAGATATAAACCCTACCTTGTGATCGGGCTTTCCATCGCTTATGAGCGATTTATGAGCTCCGGCTTTGGAACTAAGTACTACTGCCCGTGGGATATTAGTAGCAATTTTAAAAACCCTGGCCTTTTGATTTTAGTCTGGACAAAAACCTATTCTAATACGTATGTAAGCCATTCTGCATACCGTTATGATCGACTCACGCGAAAGCCACTCCATCGATGGTTGCCAATTGGGCTACTTTTTTGTATATGTCGCATAAAGGCAACTGTTGTATGAATTTCTACACAAACCTTTCAAAAAAAGATTGTACCGTTCTCAAGATATTTAAATTTTCCTAAGAGCATCACTGCTAAAAATGGCATAATGGAAGATATATACGAAGCCGTTGAAAAATTTCTAAAAAACCCCCAACACATGGAATAAAATCTATCTAGTATAAATCATGACACTAACCTCTGTTGATTTCCATA